CGTGAGTATGGTATATCTTATAATGGAGGCGTCTCCATCTCTTTTAGTTTACAGATGTCCAGAGTGTAAAAATAGTTTAAAACTGGTTAGGTCACATTAGTTCATATAACAGGATGCTGGTTCGAGAAGTTCATTGCATTGTAGTCATAATTGATAAATATGACATACGCGCTTACATATCTTGTTTCCTTATCTTGTTTCCTAGCCAACAATCAATGTGTGATATAAACGTTATTTAAAATGGCTTTACCGGTCTTCTCAAATAATTATTATACGGAATAGATTTTTACCAGATGGTTTCAAATTTGTCGTTTTTATAAATTGTATATTTTGAATAAAATAAAACATGGAATATACGTCATTCAGACAGCAACCAAGAACAAAAATAACAAAAGTCAATAGGGCAACATTCTACAGTCTTTAACAATAGACAGGTGTCTCTACAATATGTCAAGCTCTAAATCATCCCAAGTCTATAAAAGTTGTGATTATAAAAGAACACAAGGGTCTCAACTTCATCTGGCAAAGACTACTTTATATTTGTGTTTTTTTAAACAAACCATAAGGTACTGATTTTATAGTATGTAATATATTTAAGTAAGCTATTAAATGTAGTGTTTCATATTTATAATTTCAGATAAAAGTAAGAGAATCTGGAGAGTTTTCTTGTAACTCAGTTAAGTCCTCCTATGCTTGCATGTCAGCCAAACCAATCCAATATCAGAATGACTTTTATTCTCAGTATAAATGACCATTAATAATTACACTTCTTGTTTTTTTATTTATTGCATCACCTACAGGGTATATGGCAGTATATACATTTTTTTCAGGATGCTATACTAGTATATAGTAGTAGTGTGCATAAAACCTCAGAGCTTTATCGTAATTTAATTTGACAGCACACATACAATAGGAATATCATTGACTGTTGTAAAGAAAATGATAAAATATGTTGGCGCAATGCGAATATTCCCACGCACGGCATTGTAAATCAGTTACAACACTTGAATGGTATTGTAACTATAACTTGTGGGTATATTTCAATGATCCAACAGCTCAATGACCGATCATGGCTAGGCAGCATATAAAATTCAAGGGTCCATATAATGTGTCAAGCACTACATTTGATTTATATGAAATTACTTTATGTATGTTTGTTAACTTTACATGCATTCAGTGCAAATAAATGAAGGATAAATGAAAATCGTCTGGAATGTTGGTTTCATGTGGTTACCAATTAGTGAAATATAGACTTAGATTAAGTGATATGCATGCGCGTCATCGGCTTGACACATCTACAGCAAAAAGTTATACTAGAGACTATCATAACATAAAAATATCATAAAAAAGATACACACAGTGTTATATTGAAGTAATTGTGAAAGCAGTCTTTTCAAAATTTTGATGAACCATCTCCACAGTCAGATTTAAGGTACATATTTACCTTCTTCAATTCAGCATGCATTCGAATAAACTGTTTACTTTAGTATATAAAGGAAGACAAGGATATGTTTTACGATTCTTTTCTTGTTCTTTTTATATAATTACCATGTATACAGTTTATATAATCTTCAAACAAACATACAGATTCTATTAAGGATTTCGTTTCTACACAGATGTCAGTATTTATTCTGAAGAAGTTGGGGTATATAAGATGTATTTACACCAATAGGAACCTCAATAACGTCAAACATTTATACTATGTAATTTAGTCTTAATAACACCATATGAGAGGCTCATAAAGGGCAAAATATGATGAGTATCCATCAATGTTTCTTTTTTAAATTTAAAATCACGCAATTAATTTACACTAAATATTGAATTACTGATTGAAAGTATTATTATTATGTATTGCATACAAGAGAATTTTTTTTTCACTACAAATTACAAAATGTTCCACGTACGCTGAAAAATAAGAGGTTATGTTTATCAATATTTATGGTTGTCAAAATACATTAAAGATATCACTTCAATACAAACAGTGCATGGTCAACACTTTATTGCAAAACAAGTTCTATAGCAAAAAAAGCCTGTTGTCAAAAGTATACAAAATATACAGAAACATGTTATGAATATATACAAGTATATAACGCATTGTAAATGCTAAATAAATACCTGGTACTGGAAAATATATACCTCTCTGCAAATGTATAATTAATATACACATCATCAATTGTATAGTTTCTGTGTATATTTACAGATGTACATTTTATATGCATCGAAACATATGTACAATCTATATTCATCTCAAAAGATATTATATGATTTTTAAAAGATGTACAGTTTGTATACATCTTTACAGATGTACAGTTTATATACAGTTTTACAGATGTACAGTTTATATACAGCTTTACAGATGTACAGTTCATATACAGCTTTACAGATGTACAGTTGATATACAGCTTTACAGATGTACATTTGATATGCATCTTTCGAACTGTACATTAAGATTACTTGTACTAAAGTACCAGTTCATATACAGCTTTACAGATGTACATTTGATATGCATCTTCAGAACTGTACATTAAGATTACTTGTACTAAAGTACCAGTTTATATACAGCTTTACAGATGTACATTTTATATACAGCTTTACAGCTGTACAGTTTATATACAGCTTTACAGATGTACAGTTTATATACAGCTTTACAGATGTACAGTTTATATACAGCTTTACAGATGTACAGTTTATATACAGTTTTACAGATGTACAGTTTATATACAGCTTTACAGATGTACAGTTTATAATTAGCTTTACAGATGTACAGTTGATATACAGCTTTACAGATGTACATTTGATATGCATCTTTAGATATGTACAATAAGATTACTTGTACTAAAGTACCTGTGTAGCGGAAAGCGAAGTTAAAGATTGATGTAGCATGGTATTCATAGACTCATTCAGTTTTTTAATTGAAATTTGTATCAACGACCTCACAGACATAATCCATTGGAAAGAATATCTACGTCTTCTTTCTCGCGGTTCGAACCTTTGGATAACACATTTCGCAGGGAAGTGTTATTGATAATGTTAAGGTCACCAGTAATAGCGTGCCCAGTCGGATTATATATGAAAGGGAACTAGCGCAGGTGCATTAATCAGGTGGTTTAGACTTGAAGTCGTCAATCTTTAGATCCTGTTACAATTAAGTGTTTGTATTTGAAAAGTTTAGTTGCAATTGGTTTGGTATAGGTATAAGAAATAATAAGTACAGACTGATCTTTTAAATAGGGAGGTATTTTCGAGTGAATTGATTGATGATGAAAGATATTCCATAGTTGATGGCATTGAGACCTTTGTTGATAAAGGAAAATTTTAGAAATTTAAGGATATCTTATCCTTTCCATCTTTTCCAATGCGAACTGGTTTGAAAACTCTGTGACTTGCAATATCCGAAATGATAGCTGTAATATTGTGTTGTTTTTAATGGGAGTTTGTATCAGTGGTTTCCAAACATAAATTGTACAGAAAAGGAAGTTATAAATGGGGTAACGACAATCTCATTCAAACCTTATTGATGTTTAGCTCTTCATATATTGTCTTCATTATGATCAATAATTACGTATATTAATTTTCAATAGTGATAACTCTTTATAATTTTGTTTGCATTAGAGGTGGAAATATTTAAAAGATTATCTTTAATAACAAGACAATTTGCAATTGTTAGCGTGTGTATTTAAAAAGAAGAAAAAAATCATTTCTAGTCAGATATAATGGAATTTCATGCGACTGGCATGTATGTGAGAGGTTTAGCTAGCTGTAAAACCAGGTTAAATCCACAATTTTTGTTTTGTTATCTTACTTTTTTCAAGCCGTTTCACAATATTTAGGCGACGAATCAACAATATCTATGACGACAATACCGTTGGTAATGTTCGTAACATAACAATATTGAGGTCATGTTTCCAAGCATTCAAAATGTTCCTTAAAATCAAACGACAACTTTGAAATCTAGGTGGTAATAAATCCATGACCTTTATGTTTTTAGAAATGAACGTTCCTGGTGAAAGTTGATCCGCAAGAGCGCTAATACATTTATAAAATATCATTTTCATTTTTCCAGCACTTTGTCGATATCACTGATGGTGAAGTGTTAGTACACGAGGGTTAAATCAGCTCAATAGTTGGTAAAGTATCAACAGGGTTGTAGTTGGTGCCTTGGTTTTGATGTTGATTAATAACATAATTTAATGTTTAATTGCAAAAATGAAAAATGAGAAATGTATGATTAAAAATCGCATTATTTAAAAGATCAGGTTCCAACTCTATCAGGCAAAGTTGAAGTTTTATAATCATATAACTAATTACGTGCTACGAAACTGTTACATGTACATCTTTAGACTTCATTTTTTCGGTTTGAACATTACAAGGAAAGGTTAAATCCCCAAAAGAAAGATGGATGCAACAAATCTACTAGTATAACGTTTCATTTTCCCCTTTTGGCACTTAGTGCTTTGTATCTGTTTTTCTAGATTTATAAATTGTTATTTATGGACTTTTTTGTCAATTTATTTAGTATTTTTTTCTTCATGTTTTATATATTTGTAACTTGTACATAATGTAATATATGTTTGTAATAAATAAGGAGCTCTGATTATATTACGTTTATTTAAATTTAAATATGGTAGCATTATGGCAAATAAATAAATCTTTGCAAAGATGATCGACAGAAATAAAGTCATAACGTGTGAAGTGCCACTAGAAGGTTGTAATTGTAAGTATGATAGGGATTAAAACAATGCCTTGCTAGAAAAACGTTAAACAAATGGTCTATATATTATATCCATGGATATAATAATACATGAACCAATATTGTTGCTCGTATAATTTCTATCAATTACGAATGTGCTGCTTCATATAATATTGTGTTTTTTGTAAGCACGATTTCATGTTTATTGTTAATTTAAATGTCGATTACAATAAAGTTTATAGCATGTATAATGGGCTATTTGAAATTGATCTAAATTTACCTACATAATCCGTAATTGATATGTCCCTGACGTCAAGTATGTCATATTTTGTTTCGTAACAATTTAATCTTTCATTTAATACATATACCGTAAGAATAATAAGGTTGAAAATGGATATGAATATTTGGTCGAATAAAAACATTGTGCAACATTCAGATTGAAAAGGTAAATATGAGAAATCATAGTCATAGTGTTTTGGACTATTACTGTCACCTGAATTTGTATATTTGATTATGATTAGAATATTTCGTAATGAAGCATAGATAAGTGAATGTTTCTGTTGTTCTGTTTAATTTTGTCAATTGCGTGTTATATAAGGTAAATCCATGTTCTGTGTTTAAAAATAATCAAAACAATCCCCCTTCCACAAGGAAGAAAATAATGTAACTTAATTTACCTGTATTATATAACATTGTATGAATAGATATTTATTGTTCATTCAGAGACTTCCAATATTTTCTTCCAGACAGATGACGTTTGGGTTTCAACAAAGGGACACTGACTAAACGACAACACGTAAATCACAAAAGAGTTATTCACAAAATTATATCAATTACAAGATTATCAAAACTAGACTACTATATATGCAATATAAAAAGCTCCAAATCTCTTTGAGTCTAGGAAACCTGAAGATGAGACAGAAACAAACGATATGCACAAGGCACAAAACAATCCGGAGTTTCTTGTGCATTTCAGGTAGCCAATATAAAGAGAAACATTTTGATTTTGTATTATTAGTTTTTGTTCAGTTGTCGTTTGAACATGGTCCCCTAGGATTCTTTCTTGAAAAAAAGAAGATAGGATTGTGTTATATTTTTTTTATCTGCATTAGTATTTCAGAATAGTACTGCATCATACAATGTTGGTTTCATGCTATTACAATTTATTTTTCGGAATAGACTATTGACATATGTTATAAACTGTATCTTTTTGCAAAACAATCTAGTTACTTTTTACATATATAAAACTACAGTGTTACTTATTGAAAGCAATAATTTCGATTTCAGTTGTCATATTTGTACGAACTGTTATATATGCTTTTCTTACTTTGGTACTTTTTTGTATTATTGTTTTTCTTTTTCAACTAATGCGAGAGGGTTAGCGTTGATAGTGATGTGCACTCTAGGTATAATTATTCAAATGGTAATAGACAGATCGTAAGACCAGTTTGTTTGAAGTTTTATGAAAATGGTTTTGTAAGCACGATGATTTGTTTAAAAACAATGTTATGATAGATTTTTCTGGATTTTAGATATTAAGCGCAAAGACTTAATGCATTGTCTTTGTGATATCAAAAGAAAGTGTAAATTGTTCATTTTGTTTCTACTTGTACTTTTCTATAGTTCTTGATCTTGTTTCAACATGCTTTTTTTTATCAATTTATACAGAACTGACAAAAAAAAAATTTAAAATGTTAATTGGATGATATAGAAAACTAAATATAGGTAAATGATTGATCAATTCAATTTTCAAAAGTACTTTCCAAAAGGATTTGAACTCGTCTGTTTTATCATTTTCTTCTTATATACAAATTGTAAACTGAGAGTATTTACTAAATCAAACAGGTTCAATAAATGCATCCGAAAAGAAAATCCAGATAAGGTTTCTGAAATGCCATTTCAATTTATCTATAATTATTTGCAAAAAATGAGATGAAGGTGTAGTTTATAATTGTGTTGAAAGCTGAATTGTGCAGGTTTTGGTGGCGTTCTATGCATTAATGATATTTAGACAGGTTTAGATATGCATAATGAGGGGTTAAGCGCACGATAAAAACTTATTTATTCCATAACCATATCAACCAATTTTATGTAATTAATACGTTGATCGTTATTGTTCGTCACATTGTATGTTTATTTTTCAGATACCTCGAGAGTAAGAGCTTGTAGTGTTTTGATATTACTGTTAATTTTGTTTTATAATTATTTCTTTTATCTATTTATGTATTATATAGTCCAAGTACTACAATTACTTGATTGACACACAAGATTGTATATTTGATCATCGGATTAACTTTATTTTTTTACTCTTTTTTATAAATCATTTTAACATTCTTATAACTGATTTGGCTTTGCAATTGTTTTTAAAATGTAGCTGTGACGTAAATATTTTGTTTTAACTCTCCCTTATTTTTCAGAAATGGAGAGTTATTTTCTTTGTTCATCTTCATTCTCAAAAAAGTGCTCACCCATAGAAATAATTCTAAAAGACGAAACGCGATATGGAATGAAGATGAACACTTATTAAAATGGCTGATATTCGATTTTTTTCAAAATTAGGATCGTAGTAATACAATGGAAACCAAATATCTCATTATCAACAGGTTTTATTTGCGAGTCGTACTTCTATCGTATAATATAAAGTATCGTATTCACTAAAATTCCACAACATTATCCACAATTAGTTTTCCGATGCAAATCTTGACTGAATTTCTGTCACGTATAGTACCAGATTGAGTGCCATTCCTCTTCTGTGCATCTACAAAATATCAAATGTTTTAACCCAGTCGAATTTTTTTGTGATATTGAACACATTAACATCATTCAATAAGGAAAATTAGAAAATATATTTCACTTAAAAGATTCGCTTTTAATTTTACCGTTCAAGATATCATTTCCTTGCAATATTGTGGTTTAATAGAATAAATAGTTAAAGAAACTGAAATGGTCAAATTGGCGTATTCGGTATATTATTTGAATAAAGAGTAATAGAGCATGAACTTTGTGAATGAAACAATTGAAGATAATAAAGAGAGTGTTAAAGAGGTTAAAAGTGCTTTTGATGAAATTCGACCCGAAAATGATGTCACAAATAACACTATTTTCCGATTACAAGAAGATCCTGAAGACTTATATTTTGCGACACAGTCATACAGATAGTTAACTTGCTAACTAAGCATTTTGAGTGGTCAAAATTAACCTGCGACAGGATTAAGGACTGCTCTGGCCAGTTCTAGGACCACAATCAAGTTAACTTGAAAAGCGGACTTGGTCCTAGGACTGTTTTTATGACTGCCGAAAAGTTAACTTTGATACAGGTCCGCTACTATTATAAGTTAACTTCGAAACCAGTCCTACAATAAGGTAACTTTAATTTGACAACTCCGATCAAACCAAACCTGATCTCAAGTTAACTTTTGGCTTGGCTCCTCAACATTAATTTAACTTGTAACCAGGATGCTCTGCATCGATTTATACAATATTTTTAAATGTCTTTGTTTCTTCATATAAACAATATGAATTAAAAACATTTGTAAATAAAGTACGCATAAAAGTTTGCTTGTTATACAAATTTCTCTGTGAATCGCCTTTTTATAAATTGGAAAACGATATTGGTTACACTGCTAACGTGCATTGAATGTATATTTCAATACATATCGAATTCTTTAAGTCGTATATACATATATTCTATATATAAAATGTTTACGTTCTGATCTGTTTTAAAATGTAGCATATTAAATCTTTTAAAAACTTGGTTATCAGATAAAATCGATAAAAAATGACAATAACGCATATATAGTACATAGATTGTATAAAATAATCAAGATAAATGAAAGCAATATTGGTGTACATTTACTAATATCTGCATCAATTAACAGCTAGTGCAATCATGTCCTCTTTTATTCATATATGTAAATCATTGCCAACAATCAGCAGTTTTCATATCTCACACTGACTAGTTGAACAATACTATTTGACCGCATCAACCAAAACTGACAATATTTGCACTTTTTTATGCCAATGTATATAGCCACATGATAAGGGAACGACCAAACAAGGTCAATGCGTGAGAATCTGATTTTCACTAGGATGCCGCTACATGATAAAGACGAAAAAACTGAACAAACGGAAAAGATCCTTGTTAACTTTATTGTTCAACAGTTTAAACTTCACAGACTCGCTGAATACGAGCGTGCTCATCGTTTTGGAAAGGAATATGTTGAAAAATAAAGATGAATCTGTTAATTTTGCAAATAAGCCAATTGTATGTACATTCAAAAACATTAAAGAACGTGAGTTTGTTAGAAAAGCCGTTAGTGAGTTGGGGGAAACCGGATTCGGAACGACTAGTGAGCAGTTTCCAAAAGAAATTAATGACAAGCGAAAAACTTTATGGCCTTTCTTTCAAGAAGCAAGTATACAGGGACAAAAGGCTTCTTTAGGGGAGATCGCCTCTTCATAGATGGGTTTGCATTTTTCTCTTCAGAGAAAACCTATCAGCAAAAATCAGAAATGTCAAGACAATAACCGAGACGAAACTACAAAGAAGAAGGCGCTCGCCCAAAATAAACGCCAAGAAATTACAACAGCAGACGTTTCCAAATGAAAAATGAGGACATCCCCGGAGGCATATCACGGCGTTATTCTTGAAATGTTTAGATAAAATCAAAAAGTATTTTTCCACTTAAGTTTAAGACATATAAAACAGTATCCAGAAATGTTTTTAATGATGCGTTTTTTTTTCTAAATTAGCGAATGTAGGGAAGAATAAAAAATAATTGCAGTTTGCTTGTATTGCTATTTTAGACTTTTCTAGAATATGCATAACATTTTTTTCCGTTGTTTTGAGGAAAGGGAAAGAAAAAATGTTGAGTTATGCAAAAAAAAAAAATGGTTTGAAATAAAGAATCATATTTTATTTCAGATATGACTTATAATCGAGCACACCATTATACGTTAAATACAGTCCTTGGATGAATGGTGTAAACTTCCCACTAACACCATACACCATGATTACAACATTCACCATACACCATTACACCATACACCCTGTGCCATCACATCATACACGTTACACCTTTGCACCATACACCTCACACATTACACCATAATGCAATTTAATTTCAAAGAAAGCGTGCGACTACAAAATTATTTATTTATTCAAAAAAACAAATTTTGATCACAATATTGTAAATTAATGCATAAAATTAAACATCAGTTCTTATCAATATTTTGCATAGTTTTAAATGTCGTACACCATTCATTCACACCATTCCCGATCGCACGTTACACCATTACACCATTCCCCTTACACCATAGCACCATACACCTTCTACCATATATTGCACCATATGCCATACACCATTACACCATACACGTTTTTTTGGAAGTTTACACCAACCAAGGGCTGTAACATAGACTAGAGTGTTACATACCTGGAAATGTATTCTAGTTGTACCATTTAATTTTTCGTAGACGATTCTACATCCAATATTAATTAAACGAAAAATACACATAATCCATTCACTTATATGCCTAAATACTATTTTTTTCTTTCCCTATATACCACTCAAATACACAAAAAATGTTCTTTCAATCACAGTACAAGAAAAACGTGCGTATCCAATGCCTGAATGAACTGTATTTAAGATCTTTTTCTAGTAATTATTCTACTGTTCATAAATACGTTAAGTGAGTAAATTGTCAGAATGATATGAAAAAAGAGAGGCGAAATATAACGAACGGCCATTCAAACTCATAAGTCGAATATAATTTGACAACGCCATGACTTTAAAAAAAAAAAAGACAAGCAGACAAACAATAGTACACAAAACACAAAAAAAAAAAACTAAAGACTGAGCAACACGAACCCCACCAAAAATTGGGGGTAATATCAGGTGCTCCTGAAGGAAAGGCAGATCCTTCTCCACATGCGGCACCCGTCGTGTTGCTCACGTTAGCCTGTGAATTATTGGGGACAACATGGGGAAATTAAAAAGAAAACCATAACAGAAGGAAATAAAATACTTAAAAATGTTAACAGTTGAAGATTTTTTTTAATATTATTTGTGTATTTTAATTTACCGAAAGTCCAAACAATTGTCATTTTTTGTTATTTTCTCTATAACTGAATCGAGCGTCACTGGTGAGTCTGATGTAGACGAGATGTGAGCCAGGCGTACAAAATTATAACCCTGGTATCTATCTTCGATGATTTTTTATTCAATCTCTTCTCATTTTTTCTTTGAATATTGTATAAGCTATACAAATAAAATCAGACATTAAATTTGTGAAAATATAAATGGAAGATTACCTTAACTGTCTAAACGTTTTTTTCAACTTGCAAAAATAAATAAGTGTTGGAAAATTGGCAAAGCTATCTGTGAATACAAAATAATAATCTTGACAAGCAAATAACATTTCTACCTATTATGTATATTTTTTTTTTGATAGCTAGCTAAAATATCTAACTCAAGATGGATGCAACTCCATCGGACAAAGAGTTTTGGAACTACATGAAACTTCTGACCTTCACTCTTGGAATTGGAATGGAGGTTTTACACCATTACTTTGAACAGAAAATTTTGAATACTATGAAGTTTTTCGTGTTTATAGATCGATACAAACATAATTTGTTTCACGAATGTTACCCTAGAGTGCCATGTTGTCAGTGTTCTGAAAATAGTCTTGGTTTGTCTTCTAAAAAAGGATGTCTAGACAAACTACAGTTTCAGTCATTGTTTAATATTGCCTGTCCAACTGAACATGACCATTATCAATTAGGACACAATAATGAGATCACCAAGGAGTGTTTGTGCAGAATCGATGCAAAAAGGTCCAATGATGTTGACTGTATGGATATAACTCTAATGTATGCAATTCTCAAATCATGTTTTATAAACAACAATATGTCCATACATGGACATCCAAAATATTTTGAAACTATCAAAGAAACGAGGAATTTTTTGGCACACACAGCTAATCAACGCATTTCCGAATCTGAGTTTAACAGTAGACTGACTGAAACTGAACAAGCTATTTTAGGAATAGCTAGTACAGTAGGAACCTATTTTGCAAAAGTGAACAAGAAAAAAATAGATTTATTCAAAATAGAAGAATTATCAATGGACAAAATCAAAGACATCATCGAGAGCAATGCTGATGATGTTAAAAAGGTTAGTAGAACATCACCGTATTTTTGTTTTAATCAATTTCTTGAAAATGATACATGGGCTTTTGAAAAGTTACCATAGCAATTTATGTAATTGTCTTCACTGAGATCTGAACCCGTCAGATTACATTTATTAACCTTTGACGATTTGCACTGTTCTCATTGTTTTGTCTTTTACTATGAAAAAAAATATTTGGTTTAAAGGCTACTTGATAAACGCTTTTAGGAAGACGCGTCATCCCCTTTCAATTTATTATCATACGACATTTTGTGAAGAACGAAAGTGAAATGTGAACCCACTAATACCCCCATCACACTAGGACCACGATCCCGCTACGACCTCAGAAATTATGAAAACTTTTGGAAGTCGTAGTAAGATCGTGGTGATCGTGCCAATGTCTTCTTGATCGTGGAGGTCCACGACCAACTTTGAACATTTTCAAAACATTCGTGTTGCAGTCGTGGCCAAAATTATTCGAAGTAAAAGCGTATGTAGGTAGTAGTAAGGACTTAGTAAGATCGGGACGGGCATAGACACATAGTATTAGAAACATTGTGCAATCTGGAAGCCAATGGAGAAGATAACGCTGCGACCTTACTACGATTTCACTACGTCTTCTTTACGCTTCTACTACGATATTGATACTACGACGAGGAAGACAATAGTACGCTGCTACTACGCGCTTGTCGTTCTTAGTGCGACCTTACTACGAAACTACTACGACCTAGCCACGATAGTTGCATGATCTTATTCAGTTGATATAAAACTAGAGGTTCTAAAGAGCCTGTGTCGCTCGCCTATGTCTATGTTCATATTCAACAAAAGACACTTTCCAACATTGTAGACAAGAATAGAATTCATGAAAAAAGTCTCTTTTTTTTGCTGATCTTGTATTGCTGATCGTTTTGTAACTTATAAGTTTCTCTCTATCTTCTTTAGTTTTTGCTCAAAACATAAAAAAGGGTAAAATAATCCTCCTTTAAGGGTAATCTCTCCTATAAAGAGTGATAGTCTACTAACTATATCGACAAAATTTGAATGGGTGTAGATCTTACCTTGCCGATCATTTTGTTATTCAAAGTATCTATTTATCTATTTATCATATAAAGCAAAACGCAAACAAATTGGTTAAACTCGTCATCCAAGGACAGTAACTCTAATTAGGGGTCGACTGACGATTTCGACCATAAAAACCTTATCTTGATGATCATGTTTGTCTGTCATTTATGTTTTATAGTTTTCAAGATAAAAAGCAAAAATGGAAAAAAAATAGAAAATTTGTCATTAAAGGGCATTACTCCTATGTGAAGTTGGTAGAGATCAACATTCTGAACACTTTCGCAGTTGTCAGTTTTTCTTTTTTTTTATAAGCTTTTCAAAATAAAAGACAAAACTTGCATACATGTATAACCCCTATGTTCAATTTTTAGCCATGTCGACCATGTCGACCATCTTGGTTCGCAGGCGCGGTCATCGGACACAATTTTAAAACTAAATACCCGAATGATGAGTGTGACCAAGTTTGGTTAAATTTGGTCTAGTAGTTTCATAGGAGAAGATTTTTGTAAAAGTTAACGGACGACGACGGACAACGGACGCCAAATGATGAGAAAAGCTCACGTGGCCCTTTGGGCCAGGTGAGCAAAAAATTGATGCAATAGCTTCTACCTGTAGTTCAACCATGGACACACACGAGCAAAAGAAGAGCGCAGTGACAACGTAGTGGAAACGTAGTAGAGTCGTAGTTCGAGCGCAATGACATCGTATTTGAGTCGTGGTTCGATCGTAGTAGACTCATATGGAGATCGTGTAAGTCGTTGTTAAGTCTGAGTAGACGTAGCATAAAGTAAAATCACAAAAATACCGAACTCCGAGGAAAATTCAAAATGGAAAGTCCCTAATCAAATGGCAAAATCAAAAGCTCAAACACATCAAACTAATGGATACTAACTGTCATATTCCTGACTTGGTACAGGCATTTTCTTATGTAGAAAATGGTGGATTAAACCTGGTGTTATAGCTAGCTGAACCTCTCACTAGTATGGCAGTCGCTTAAAATTCCATTATATTGACAACGATGTGTGAACAAAACAAACAGACACAATAGGTAAAAATGTCAAAAATTGGGGTACAGCATAAGCGTGACAAGATTTTACTAGGATCATAGCAAGGTCGTGGTATGAACGTGAAAACTAAGAAATAATTAATAAATTAATTAACTCAACTGAAAAATATGAAAATAAAATGAATTAATATCGTATATATTTGTGCACTATTCTATATATGCTTGAAAATCATAAAATTTTCAAGCATATAACATGTCGATTAGACCATTCTACCATTTCAAACATTTGAAAGCAATAAACCTGTTCGAAACGATATTGGGACAGTAGCAATATAAAACTAACAGAAAGACTCAAGATCATTCTTATGTAATTGACATAAACAGCTAAATATATTCTATTACTAACGGTTATCAGAAACCATTTAAACATGTATATGAACATGGTATAAAAATATGCAGATGCTGATTGAGTCTATGTGTATTCAAAACGAATAGAAGATCTTTCCTCAGTGCTATGTTAACTATGATAAAAAGATAATTGTAAATGTCTGTCGTGTATAGTGTTTTAACAAAACAAGGAAAAAGTCATTCAAGACGGCAACATGATACAGTAAGTATTACAGTTAAAGGGGCACTAGCTGTCAAATTCATGTTCACCGATTTGACTCAAATTCTCATATTCGACTTATAACATACTAAAACGTATGTCCAAATAAAAAAATGCTAAAATAAACAATTTACAATGCATAAACTCGAAATTATGTATCAGCATTTCGTGTGTACTTAAGTCTGGACGCCATCTAATTAACCATTAATTATCGAACAGAAAAAAAAATCCTATTTTATTTTTTTTCTATACCTCGCAGCTAGTGCCCCTTTAAGCCACTTTTTGAGGTACGTACATGTATGTTCGAAAATAAGCTCATTCTGTAATGCAAATATGTAAAACATACATGTACCTCTCTGATGAGAGCTAAATAAAAAAAGTAATACTTAATTTTAATATTAAGGAGTTCATCTTTTGTTTGTTAACTGCAATTCAATGAAAAGTGGTTGACTGCCTGCTGGTATTTGATTTGTAATTACAAAAACCACAAACGATTATCTAAATGTTAAAATGGGTTACTCAAACATGTCCAATTCAGGAATATGATAGTTGTTTTTAACTCGTTCCACTAATTGATAACGTTTAATTTTGTCATTTTTATATACTTTCCCCCTTTTGAATTTACCTTGGAGGTTGGTGTTTTTGTAGCTCCTATATTCAATACTCGAATCTTTTTTATCATATTTCAAACACGAAGTAGGTGCTCAAAATAATGAAATAACAAATATTAGACTTCCATTTGTACATGCAACTGGTAGCTTTTGATTTGTTAACAATACTTTTAGGACAGGCTATTGTATCACATTACATAGGTTAAAATGATTCAACATCCAGTCAGTATTCTAACGGTACCAATTGAGCATCTATACTGGTAGACTCAATTTTTCACTTCAAAGAAGCTAGTACTCTTCCCCAACTCAAATATTGGGCCTTGATCATCACTGATGAGACATTACATTTCTAAACGAGGAATAGTAAAACTGATTTTCGTCTTTTTAATTTTATGCAATGGTGTTGTCTTTCCTTGTTTTGATAGTTTGTATCATCCTTTTCTCATATTGTTTATAAGCTGTTTCATGCATACACTTAATATATTAAAATGGTAAGTATCTAGTGTGTGCAATTTTGATTTACATTTGTACAGGAAGTTGACCTTCTTTTGATAAAGTTGTAGGAACAATGTTTGTTCTATCAGTCGACTTGTTTAATCAGTATATCTTTCTGAAATGTTATATAATTTTTCATTAACTAAAATTAACATCTAAATTGAATGAAGTAAAATGATAATTACTGTTAACGATGTTGTAATTTTGTAAATACTTCTCGTTGGGCCAAGATTGAAAAAGGTTACTGATTCTCACGGACAACAAATGTGTGTGTTTAATTTTTCTTAAACTGTGGGACATTTTACTATAAGTACGGGTTCTATTAATTGTTGAAGGTAGAAAATTGTACTCTAGTTGTTTATATCATCGCTCTCTGGTAGCTGATGGACAGGTTTATAATTGTTTATCATACCACATTTCGTTTGATATAACGAAGATTCAATCCAATGAAATACCAGATCGATCTCCAATTTATATTCCATATTTCAACTTGATTGAAAAAAAAGCTGAAATGATTTCATAATAAAACATTGACATGAAAAAAAGACAAGCTTTAACAAATAAAATAAAAGAAAAACGTTAAATTGAGTATATATTTTGAAATAAATAGGACAATACATAATAGCAAACATACATTATTCCTCTGAGTTATATCAGCTCTTCAACTCAACGATTGTTTTGTGTTTAGGATCTCCACATGTCATAAAGCATCACTTACGCACATTAATTGAAATAAATTGTCCAAATGTGCATTTGTTCAGTAAAATCGATGCCGTTTATCTTATTTCTTACACTGTTTCGACATTGGTGCCAGTATTAGATCATGCATTTATAGACTATCCCACTCCCCAAAGGTTTCTTATGTTACATATCAGTTGACAACGGCGAGATTTTTGCAAACCATAAGTCCTTCATGGGTTCAATGAACATTACATTGAGCAGCAAATCTGAGGACTTACTTTTTTTGTATTGGATACCTAAGCTTCACTACATTCCGTAAAAACAACGGTACATTACCAGCTCATCGGCATGTTCTACAAAGGAATCGTTCTTTAGATTGACAAAAAATCTGTCCAAAGTGAAAGAGGGTTTTCGGAAATACTGTGAAACTGTTTACTCGCGTAGTGGTATTAACCATATGTGCATTTTAAAAACCATTAAAGAATTTCTGGATAATTTTGAATCTCGAACCTTCTTTGAAATTCATTTATGAACACTTTCGATT